TCACTAATGAGCTCACCGGCTAGTATATTGAACAGGAGAGAAAAACGAAGAGAGATACTTAGAGCTTATTTTTCTACATTAATTATAAATGAGTGGCCTGCATTGCTGAAAGTTTTATTAACAAATTGTAGATTGTCGTCCATCAAGTAATKACGCAGTCATGAAAAATAATAGATCTCTCATTGAATCCGATTCAGGCCAAGGAACGTGTTATTTGTCATCAACAATATCAAATATTATGCACAATCAAACGGTAACAACTCACCTATCAACWTTGGATCGGCAAAAAGTGCTGTTTATAGTTTTTAACTTCTTTCTAACTTTCCCATGCACCGATCAGTAGACACATTTTCAAAGGTTTGCCAAATTTTCCATAGTTTTGTGTGCAATACTGAGCTCCGATCTAGAACTGCATGCAGCCGGGAAGATCTAAATTGGTTAAAACACAATATTCTGCCGTTTCTTGCTCAGTATAGACTTTTACAAAGTCCCTTTTAGCTCACTCCTCTCGCTCAATCTTTGTCAAATTTTTAATATTTTCTAGCCTTGATGAGCTTTGATGTTTTTTTATTTTTTTTTGATGAGTCCGACGCGGAGAGCCCAACTAATCTCAAGTACTCTATGGCATTGGAGTTGTGAATTTTGCTGRCTGGAGTAAAAGTGTGTTGGATTTATATTGCCAGGTCGGGCCAAGATTTATTTGTTTGTTTTGTTACATGGCTAAACATTTTTTGATTTTTAAGATTCGTCAATAAATCCGAGTTTTCATGTAGTTTATATATGCTGTTAGTTCTGGGGAAGTTTGAAATGCTTTCACACTTGTATCTTTAAATCAATGCAGTAAGATTTTTAGTCGTGATAAAACGAGAGTTATACGTACACCATAAAGAAATTGTAGCGCTTTAACTCCCAAACTAAGGAGCAAAGTAAATCGGATAGATAGGGATTTTGATCATGCGTTTCTGAAAATAGTGGACTATATTTCATATAGAGGTTTAATTCTCATAAAATGCAAGATAGAAAGCTGCGAGCAAAATGTTAGCCATGTCTACCGTCTGTGAGTGCAACTCACTGCATCACTCCTCGAACCTTAGTTGATTAATAATCTTTGCATGAATCTTAGATAATGTCTTCAAAACTTTCTATTGCTACAGATTTGGTTTCTAGCTATTTTAGGTTGATCATTATATTTKAATATATGGGTACTTACAGCAAACATGAAGACACAGAGCAACATCGTCCACCGAAAAACCTATACTGAGTCAGTTAAAAGACCAATAAAATATTAACACCTGACCATGGATGATATATTAGACTTAATAACGACCGCTATATTAAAACTGCTTTATTAAGTGGATTCTCATTGTCAGCTTTTCTATTTTAATCAATGTTTACTAAAAACATAGTTCCTAGCTTGTCAGCCATTAAATTAAAATAAACCCGGCAGGGCTTAGAGCTGGGCACACCTTAATTACTATAGCGCCCCGATATTGTGCGATCAATTTTTAATTAACTACAAAGTTTTACAAACATTTGAATAGAATCTGCTCATCGTCGTTCTCACCAGGAAGCTCTGAATCGTGTGATTAAAAGCTGTTTTGTATTTCGACAGACAAGGCCTTCGTTTAACTTAAAACATGCTACATATCATAATAATAATACACAAGTTTTCATATCATACCAAAAACGTTTGAAATYAGAGAATTACATACTGATATTGAAGATGAAAGGCGCAGATCGATCAGTTCTCAGTTGCTTCAAGGTTTTTTGACATCGTAACCGATAACAAACTTTTGATAAAGAAAATCAGGTTGATCAATTTAAGTTAAGTTAAGTTATGAAAACTAGCTCGATTTTCAACTCYATGCTATTGATAATATAGCCTTTTATATCAAAAATCGCATTGTATGATATGTATATATCTTTTTGCCGTATAAACGAGGATCCCTAGTTTTGGGACCCATGAAAACTCACATTATGTCACCACAGGGAACCAACAGATTACTTTATTTATTTGTTTCATGTATTTTGCCCATAATATATAATATACCTAGTGGCCAAATAAATCGATATTCTAGAAAAGGTTAACGTCCACGGGGGGTACATTTTGGGCATCTTAATATTGGTGATCTTCGGATCTTTGCAAAAATAAGTAATAAGTAATTCCCTTAAATTACCCTAAGTTTGTTATYGTTAAACCTTCAAGAAACTAGAACGATTATGTGATATGTCTGCATCATTCATGATGTTTAAAACATTAGTTGAATTGCGAMAATAGAACTAGACGCATCACTACGTGAACTCATGATTTTGTGTCAATTTTCTCTGCATCCATACAGCTTCTCGTAGGAATATATTTAAGGTGAAGTACCCTTACGATAAGTCTAAAACGTACACATAAACGGTAAATTCAGTGAATTTAGACTTATCGTAAGGGTACTTCACCTTAAATATATTCCTACGATTATGAAAAAGTCTTTTGAAGTCAAACTTAAAACAATTTCAGAAACATACAGCTTCTGTTTTGCCAAAAATCCATCCATCGCTCATTGAAAATGTATCACGTACAGTTCGTTAACTTTCCAATATAAAGTTTGTGATGCGATGATGTATCTTTAAGGACTTTGTGTATACTATATTGAAAGTCCTTTAATTTGCAGATAAACAGATAAACTCAATGTCATATTATTTTTGCGAACTCGTATTGAAAGTCTTTTGGTCCACAAGCACGTTTACATGTAGATAGCCTTCTAATGCATTTGTTCAGATTTTTAAATTAAGGTGGTCATGGGAGGATTTAAGGGAGCTATAATTAAACTTTGTTTTCGAATAGTTTCTGGAAAGAGAGACCGGTCGATTGAAATCAAAACCCAACACGCACTAGATGGAAACCATGAAAACAACCATGTCGAACCATACAATAATTAGCGTTATATCCGAGTTTGAGTCTATTTAGTTAAATTCTCAAAGCTGTAAAAACAAGAGAGAATTGTTGTTTTGGGGGATGCGACCCTTCCACTCACTTTGTAATAATTTATCCAAATTTATCCTAATTTTTCATGCTAATTTTAGTTTGATCTTTCTTGCCATAGTTTGCTCCAAACTTCACGTGGTTTGTGGCTAGTCGTCAGCACTCCCTTATTGCGAAATGGCCACTTGTCTTTATCTCTAACTTCTTCTTGAAAAACGTACATCTTTAAAATGGTACACAAGATAAAATAATACAAATACATCTTATAATCGTTTTAACTAACAGGAAATATAAACATATCCTAAGCCAAAAAGCAGAGAGCGCCCATTTTGGTGTACAATGCTCATTCAGTTCTATTGTTATATACACCAATATGGTTTCCATATTTATAGTGATCTTTATAAGGAAGCTTTATTCATGTGACTGAAAAAGCAAGAATACGTCTCCCGTGCACTCCTAAAATGGAGAATAAGTCGAGCTTCTCTGCTTGAGAACAAAATGTTAAGCTATATGACGGGCGTATCGTCGTCAATGTGAAAACCACGCGTTACTGCAGGTCACTATCAAAAATGTTATTCTACATTTCACGATGTAATTCACGAGATACTGATATCAGTAGAGTCTACAATTTGTGCATTTTCATCAAAATGACTTATTATTAATATAAACGTCTTGACGCTACATCGATGTGACTACAAGTCATGCATTCACAGCGCAGTCTTAGATCACAGTCTGATGAGATGAATTCACAGTCTGATGATAGTTTGTATTTAGTTCCTTGTAACTTTCCAGTCTCCGCCATCTCTAGGTCTGTATGACAACATGTACAGTGTCTTTCCGTTGAACTCTTCTGTGATCTTAATGTCAGGCTCGTTGTAATGACCTTGTAAACCAAGGATAATGTCGGCTTTAAACGGTTGCGTCACGCCGGGTGGTAGAGGCGTGACAAATGGCTCCCTCGTTAACAACACACTATCCCCGCTACCTTGCCTGAACGTCACTTTCACAGTGCGCAAGAACGAGTAAGGTGTTTCCCTGGCAACGTCAAGACCTTGGAATGAAATCTTTCCATCAGACACATCAACTGCAAGACGGCGATTGATGGTGAATGCTGGGATATCAAGACCAAGTCTCTTCATCACTCCAACCATCACTTCATCAATCTGTGCATGGATTTCTAATGCGCAGTGATCATTCAAAGGTGTTTTCTGCAGATTACATATCACTACTCTTTGTCTGTTGCGGATGACATTTTCTGGGATGTCTGCAGCAGGTGTAACTCTAAGACTAGAACCAAGAACTATACACAAGTCACTCTTATCTGCCTCTTCAAAGCCTTTGTTAAGCTCCTTCTCAGGAAGACTCTCACCAAA